AAAAGATGGTTTCCATGGAAACATGAGGTCACCTGGTGAAATCGGCACATTAATATCTTTCTTTTTAAATGCTACAAAAAGTCATCAAGGCTGGTACATAATTGCAGGAACAATAGAAGTTAGCGAGAACAATTTCTATTTTCCGCCTCCGGAGCGTAGTTATTTATTTTGCTCTTTCTTTATTAATCTTTATTTATTTATCTATTTATTCAGGAAAACAACAAAAATTTCCTGGATCAGGAAAACATCGATTTGTTGCCGATGCCATCGACATCACAGGGAAACGGCAACGGTTCCGCCATATTGATATCAACTGAAAATATTGATGATGATGATGACGACAAAGAAGAAGACAGCTTTACTGATCAACAGCTGTTTTCATTTTCTTGGCAAATAGCAAAGGGAATGGTAATAAAGAATTTTTTTAGAATTTTTGCTCAAAATGGCAACTCATCTACATCTCTCTTTTACGTTTTTAATTAGAATCATCTCGCAGAGAAAGACTTAATTCATCGTGACCTCGCAGCTCGTAACATTCTGGTTGGCAGTGATAACCGAGTCAAAGTGTCAGACTTTGGGTTGATGAGACAAATCTACGAGGACGTTTATAGCATAAAGAAGGCAAAAAAGCTTCCAATCAAATGGATGGCTCCAGAATCGATAGGCGATGGCAGTTTCACCATCAAGAGTGACATGTAAATAAATAATAGTCTTATGGCACGACATTTCCTTACTCTTGCAGCAACCTTTTGATATCCAGATCTGCTCAAATGTCATCATTGTACTTTTAGCTTATTTGCGATACTTGTACATGAAATATGGGTTATTGATCAGGCGTGAGGTCAAGATGGCTGGATATTGGACATTTTTTGTGAGTTTATCGACCGAGATGGAGTCGAGGTCCATAAACTCGTAAAAAAAGAAGAAGGCCAATATTCAGCCTTGTTGACCGAACAAGCTTGGTAAATAGANTGGTGAAATCGGCACATTAATATCTTTCTTTTTAAATGCTACAAAAAGTCATCAAGGCTGGTACATAATTGCAGGAACAATAGAAGTTAGCGAGAACAATTTCTATTTTCCGCCTCCGGAACGTAGTTATTTATTTTGCTCTTTCTTTATTGATCTCTATTTATTTATCTATTTATTCAGGAAAACAACGAAAATTTCGTGGATCAGGAAAACATCGATTTGTTGCCGTTGCCATCGACATCACAGGGAGACAGCAACGCAGCCGTTATGTTGATAGCAACTGAAAATATTGATGATGATGACGAGGAAGAAGAAGACAGCTTTACTGATCAACAACTGTTTTCATTTTCTTGGCAAATAGCAAAGGGAATGGTAATAATGAGTTTTTTTAGATTTTTTGGTCAAGATTTCTACGTGGTGATAGTTGGTGAGGCCGTTTGCAAATCAATTATCACATCATAGGAGTCGCGGTCAAGTAGTTCTAACTTTGCTTCAAACGATGGTTTCTAGCTATTTCTTCACATAATGAAATTCTCTTTATTCTTTAACAAAATGGCAACTCATCTATATCTCTCTTTAACGTTTTTAATTAGAATCACCTCGCAGAGAAAGGCTTAATTCATCGTGACCTTGCAGCTCGTAACATTCTGGTTGGCAGTGATAACCGAGTCAAAGTGTCAGACTTTGGGTTGATGAGACAAATCTACGAGGACGTTTATAGCATAAAGAAGGCAAAAAAGCTTCCAATCAAATGGATGGCTCCAGAATCGATATTCGATGGCATTTTCACCATCAAGAGTGACATGTAAATAAATAATACAATCTTATGCCACGACATTTCCTTACTCTTGCAGCAATCTTTTAATATCCAGATTTGCTTAAATGTTACCATTGTACTTTTAGCTTACTTGCAATACTTGTACAACGAATAAGGGTTATTGGTCAGGCGTGTGGTCGAGATGGCTGGATATTGGCTAAATTCGTATATAGACCGAGGTGGAGTCGAGGTCCATAAACTTGTAAAAAAAACAAGGCCAATATTCAGCCTTGTTGACCGAACAAGCTTGGTAAATAGAGGATTTATTATATGGCTTTCGGGAAAATTTTTCTCGCGGAACACAGCGGGTAGTCCCAAGCGGGCAGCATAGCGCCATCTTGCCCGCTCGGGTGGCCAATCACAGCGCAGGATTTGGTTCATCTTGTTCGCTCGCGGATCGAGCCGTATTATTATGAATGTCATTTAAGACAGTGGGTCCAAGATTTGATGACGCATGCAGGCTATAGACCGTTTATATAATAATTTAATGAATGCGCGCGCTCTGATTGGTCGATAAGCTATGGTTTATTGTGCCAGTAAACTCATGGAAATTTCGCGTGTTTTCTGAATTATTATATAAAAGCAA